TCAAATATCAACAAAATCTCATCAACATCGGACTGTTATATATCTTACATAGGACGACTTTATTGAAAACGTATTTCTTAATTGAACAACTTTTGTTTTTGTTTTTAAGATATACGTGCCTAGAGCAGCAAGACACAACTTATATTATTCCAAACAATTGTAAATCACTAAACTAGGCTGTATACTTTACATGTGCTCTACGTCGGTAAGGGTATTTAATTTTCGTTAGCCCGCAGACAAATGTTTTGCTCTTGCTTTTAATTGCTCGCATGTTTATTTCGCTTTTGGTTTTGCCTCTTTTGGCTGTGCATTCAAAAGGATACCAAATGCATGGCCAGAATTGTTCTTGTTCTTGTTGCCATGGTTATGCACAACACGTGGGGCGGCAGCAGCAACAGCAGCAGCAGCTCTTCTTGTTGTTTTTGTGGCCAGCAGCTCAATTTACAAAAAATTGCTGCAGCATTTAATGAAAAGCGAAACGCAAAGCGACAAACAAATTGCAAAATGAGCGCAGCTTAACAAATGGATGAATGCAGGCCAGTTTGCATTGTAAGCGTGTGTGTATATATGTGTGTGTGCGTTTCGGTGTGCCACTAAGCTCAAATGTCAAAGGTTTAAAGCCAAGGCATTGTGTATACTTCACAGACACAAACACATAGACAGAACACGACGGCGTCGCATAAATTTCAATAAGTTGCCTACTTTGCGCCTCGCCGATGCGCAAGTTGCACTAAACAAAAGTTTTATGTGGTTGCGCGCGTGTGTGTGTGTGTGTGTGTTTGAGTGTGTGAGTAGGTGTCATCTAAATTCAGGTCACTTTAGTAGTCAGCTGCGAGTCAGCCTTTTGTGCCCGTCTCAAGCTGCTTTCAGCTCTTAAGCAGAAACTGCAGCTGCCACATTTCTGGTGACATTTTATTGCGTATACGTAATGTTACGTATACGCGATGTTATATGCAACAGTTTTTAAAGGCGCCTACACACACACACACTCACACACACACGCGCACACTAATGAGCGTTAAGTGCTCATGTGCATTGAATATGATTTGGCACTTGAAATATAAAAAAAAAAAAACCCTAAAAGTCTGCCAGGGCAAAGTTTAAAGCTTTACTTGTATTCAGCATAGTTGCTCCGCCTTGCTGTTCTTCCAGCGCTGCCGTGTCCATTGGAGCATGTTTAATAAGCAGCGCCATTTTTCATGCGCAGTCAACAGAGCGGCAGCAGTGGCAACAGCAGCAGCAGCAGCAGCAGAAGCACCCGCAACAACAGTGCCTCATAACAGTTGCCACCCACACAGCTGCCAGACGAGATGACGAGCACCACAGCGCACATCAAGAGTTCTTTGCTACACGCCATGCAAAATGTTGGTGCAGGCCATGAATGCGTTTGGTAAAGGGCGCGAATAAGGCAGAAGGAAATCCATTTAGTCAATTGACAAGCTAATCTATAGCGGAAGCAACTCAGCGCCAGAAATGATTAAGCACAAAATTGAAAGGCATTGAAAGAGAACTCTGAAAGCATTTGCGTTTTATATAGATAAATAAATGTATAAGTAACTTATTTAACGTGAATATTTTGTATGGCAAAAAGTTATTTCAGCAAACAGCCAATAAGTATGCAATAGAAAATGCAGCAGAATCAAGTAAGGGAGAGCATTCAGTAAGAAATATATTGAACAAATTGAAGAGATCAAATTAGAAGGTTAAAAACGTAAAATAGAAAAATTATAAAAAGGAAAACGATTCACCATAAATAAATGGGAGAGTATGACGAGATAATTAGAAGATTCAGTAATTATATAAATCAAGAAATTATAAACGTGAAACAAAGAAAAATAAATTCTTACACAACTTTCAAACAACTTTCGACAAATCGCTTTGCACCATGACAAATCTCATAATCTTCTTGCAATGGAAAAACAATTTATCTTTTTGTAAAAGGTAAAACTTACTGTATAGATTTAATATCAATTTTAGGCACGTGATTTTTATATAGTATTCGAAAGCTATACAAGCGGATTCATAAAATAATCTTAAATGTATTTTTCTGGTAAAATGATACTAGATACTACCAAGAACTTTGCAACAAACACAAAAAAGCTACACGTCGGATATGTGAACAAGTTAGCAATTTTTTTGTATTCCAGCTTGACCCATTTCCAGCAAACTATAAATTAAAAGTATTCGCATAGTTTTCTCGCCCCCCAATTAGCTTTAAAAATTATGGCTAGCTTTATTCAGCTTACTAATTCCCATTAGCTTACAGGACTCGTTGCCAAGAGCATTTATCATTATCCATTTGCTTTGGCTGTATACGTGGCATATGAATTATGATGATACTGCATAAAAGTGACATGCTATTTCATATCATATACGAGTATCTACATATTTTTATGCTGTTCTAGACAATTTTCTTGTTTTTGTTTTTCGCTAGTTTTGGTATCACTGGTTTTGCCCGAGGGCGTCGCAACGCTGGGTGTGGCTGGTGTGTGGGGAGCCCAACAAATTTGTCAACTCAGTGAATCATAAACAAGCGCAGTTATATGGAGCGCGACAGTGTTCCAGACTATGGGATAAACAAATAAACAACAACAACAACAACAACAACAACAGCAGCAGCTACATCAGAATGAATGTAAAAATTGTGTTTGCATTGGAATTTGCGCGTGTAGATTTTCAATTAAGCTCCGCCAACGCTGCGTATGTGCAATGCCAGCAATTTTCATGCAACGCCGCATATGGAGGCGACTTTAAGGAGTTTGTGCTCATGGCGAGGGGCCGCCGGATACTCAGCACTGTGAAGTGCACATCATGCCCCACAGTTTAGGGTGACAAATGGCAGCGAAAAACGACACCCGGACACAAAGGGACGGCGAGGGGAATACAAACAGCGACATTTGTTAGCATTAGGCACGTAGCCGGAACTGGGCAGGAGCTGAGTCTGCGACTGAACCTGAGTCGGAGTCTGAGTCAGAGAGCCGATGCAGCAGTCAGCAGGACGTGTCGGAAGCGGCACGTAGCGCCAGTGGACATGTTTGAGCAGCAACTGTAGACAGTTTCATGTCTACTTAGGTATGTCTGTGTATGTGTATGTGTGTGTGTGTAATAAATTTTACCTGCACATAAACAACTAGAACAGCAAAAACAACAACGAGCACTAGACTTATTTAGTGCAGCAGTCAAGAAAAAGTTTTTGTTTTTTTCCCTAAATACCCTTAAGGAAGTTATTTTGATTTTTCTATGCAAATTGTAACGGCATGAAGAAGAGCAGGCATTTTGAACTATTTCGAGGAGCACAGCATTTTAAATTATTTGGATTATGTTCGAATAGTTCTTTTCAACTTTCATATAGTATTGAAGCAAATTAAAAGTGTGTTAAAGTTAAAGGTAAAGTTCTGTAAATGTGTCATCAGAAAAGTTTAAATATAGAAAGGCTAGGTCTAAAGCTCGATATATATGTATATTATCGGCATAAATGATATGTTTTTTAAGGGCATCTAAGCGTCGACTATGCACACATCAACTATATTTGTTTCCAGTTGCAGCAACCTTCGCACTTATTTGTTTTTGGGTTTCTTACGTGTGATTTACGTTTAATTTATTTATGTTGAACAAAAAAAAAACACAGAAATTATGCTGTGCATTAGACACATGAAATTAGATTTAAAGAATGCGCTTGCTGTAAGCTAACCTGGCTGTGTGTGAGTGTGTGTGTGTGTGTGTGTGTGTGTGTGTGTGTGTGTGTGTGTGTGTGTGTGTGTGTGTGTGTGTGTGTGTGTGTGTGTGTGTGTGTGTGGCATGTGGCAAGCAGTTCGAAATCATTGCAAGCTTCACTTTTGGCGCTGATTCAATTATTTAAAATGCTGCATGCAATTTTGTGCAGCAAAGTACTTAAGTACCCGTTGCCCGTGCCCCTACAGCCCAGCAGCCAGAACCAAAATGTAATTTGTTGATACATGCTGCATATTTGTATAAAGTAAAGTGCAGCAAAACCAGAGAAGGGTAGAAGGGCAGAGACTCGGAGGGTGGCCGCTACCAGCAGAAAACATTTTCCTGAAATTACTTTAACCTGAGCAGCAGCAGCAGCAGCAACAGCAGCAGCATCAACAGCTGCCGCATCCGCATTAACCCTTTAATGGAGCTCAACCAAATTTTCATATTTAACAAGTTTCATTTTCTATGCAAATTAAAATTGCCAGCAAATTGTGCATATTTTTGGGGGTGGGGGAAAGTGGAAGAAGCTGCAGAAAACATTTACATTTGTTGTCGCTCTTAAATGCATGACAAATTTTGTGGCTTCTACTTTGCAACTGTCAACAAATTAAAAGTTCAGATTATTTTCAAGAAATTTCTGAAATTAAATAATTAATTTGGGAATATTTTCTATGGAATATGAAGCTTTTTAAAGCACATCATTGTTTCAAATAGTACAAAACAAATCCGAAACAAACTCTAAATATAGATGAGAAAATATTTGGAAAATATATTATACATAAGAAATTTTTGTAAAAGTATTTTCCTTATCATACAATTTTTTAATCTGATTCATATTAGACAAAAATCGTGTGTAAGCTGAAGCTCATTTAGTTTTGTTTATAAATATATTTTGGTAAATAATCTATATTTCTTTCTGCTTTCTGAAATAAAAAACCATTGAGCTGTTTTGTATGGGTTAAGCATGTAACATGTTGCTTTGGCTTTGAAAAGAATTGCGTCTGCCGTTGCGTCATTTTTCAATTTTCACCTTGTGCACCTGTGCACGCTGACTACATACTAATAAGAAAGCCAACATATGCAGCTTTATGGGCAAATATATTTTCCCCCTCTCAACCCTACTGTAGTACAGACGTGTTTGTGCGGCAAATAAATAACCTGAGCTTAAAGCAGCTTAAGGGCTTAAATATTCTTTGGCCAAATCAAAAATGTACTCAAGAATCAATAATATCTTGCAGTTTATGCGGTGGAGAGTTAGGAAGTTTTAAGGAGCGGTGGGCACTTACCTCTGTGCAAAACTGGCAGCCGCATTGCAGTAGGGCGGTGGCGTCTGCTGCGTTCTCCACATCGATGAGGCAGAGTTTGCAGGTGAATTGCTGGAAATTGATAGGCGTGGCTGGTGTGCCCACCGAGGGTGTCACATCCGCGGAGGCGAGCATCTCGCGCCGCTTCAATGTGATGCCATCGCGCACACAACAGGCCTGGGCCGCATGATTGGCACTGGCCATGGACAGCAGGGAGCTGACTGTCAACGGATATGCGTGGGTGGTGCCAAAGGCGCCCAGTTCGATGCCGCCCGTGCTGCTTGGCGTGGCCGGTGTGTGCTCCTCAAAGCTGTTGATATTGTTGCCGGCGGAGTGCAATGTTGCTGTGGTCACATTGGACGGCGGACTTGGGCTGCTGGCGCTTTGCATGCCAGCGGAACTTTTGCGTGAGCCACAGCCAGCAACAGCAGCAGCAGTTGCTCCAGCTGCAGCGCTATTGCTGCTGCCATTGCTCAGTCGTATCTGCGCATTGACATTGATGTGCGTCGGCTCCGTCGGCATCTGCTCCACATCGCCGCCGCCGGCGCCGCCATCCACAAAGCTGACACTGGGCCGTCTCGGATGTGTGCTAAAGGATAGCGCCGACTCTGGACGCGGCACAAAGCCATTGGCGAGCGAATAACGCGAACCGGTTGCAGCCAGCGACAACAAACTGGAGCAGCGGGAACATGTGCCAACTCCATTGATGCTGCTAACGCTGTTGCGCAATCGATTCAGCGGACGTATTTGCTCCACACCGCCGGCACTGAAATTGCCGCTGCCGCCATGCGTGGCCAGCATCGTGGCCGTCTCGTCCCCTGGCATGGGATGCAGCGTGTGGCTCTGGCGTGTGAGGGCCAGCACTGTTTCGCATTTGCGCAGGCCCGTATACTGTACAATGGACTGTGATTTCTCCTGATGCAGGCTGCTGGCGCTGCCCTCGCGACGCATCATGTGCCACAGCTTCTGCTGCACCACGTTCAGGGAGCTGCTCGAGCCGCTGATGCTTAGCCGGCTGCTGCCATGACCATGACCATTGGCTAGCTGTTGGCGGCCGGCGGGATCCCGCAGCACCACATCCTGTTCCGAGGGTGTGCGCGTAATGCGTATTTCCGGCGAGGCAGGTCGCAAATGTGTTGGCTCTCGTTCCCGTTCGCGTTCCTTTTCCTTTTCACTGGCTCGACTGCTGCTGCTGCCTTTGAGGCCAACCAGCGACTTGATAAAGTTCTCGAAGCGTCGACGACGCGGCAGCTGAGCACCCGTGAGTCCCAGTGAGCTCTCCATATCGCTACCCCCGGCCCCGGTGCCGGTGCCGGTGCCGGCGCCTGTGCCTGTTCCAGTGGCAGCTGCTGTGGCCCCATTGCCCAGGCTGCTGACCGAGAGTGAGTGATTGTGATTGTGGGAATTGGGCAGGGATAGGGAGATGCGCGTCGGCTGCGCCTTGCGCTCAGCTCCACCGTCGCTTGCCGAAATGATGTTGATCTTGTTGCGCGTCTGCGTCTCCAGCAGCGCAACTGTCTCGTTTGTGTCCGAGTCGTGCTGCGGCGCGGCATGCGAGGCAGTGGCACTATGCTGGCTGCTGGCGCGTGCCTGATGCTTTGTGTTGGCCAGATTGTGAATTGGCGAGGAATCCTGCAAAGTGGCAATAGAAACTGATTAAGGCAAAATATTTGTATATACACAGATATATATCGATATGCATATAGAACGAGACACATTCAGTTCGAAACGGCGCAGACTCACACAATTGACTCAAAACCTGCTCCATTTAATTTTGTATTTACTTGAATTTTGAACATACTTTAAAAGTTAAAGTTTTTTAAATTATTTAGTAAACATCTTTCTATTTACCTGACATTTCTCAACAAAGAAACTGAAAGCTTTTTAACTGTAAGACACGTGAGAGCGTCATTTGGTAGTTACTATTCAATTTAAAATAAGCAGCAAAGTGTCTGACTAGCATTTTATGGAAGATATTAAAAAAGAACTCTTTCAGGTCTAATTAATGATTATTTTGTAAGCGTAAGCCTTAACTGCTTTCATTCCAAGTATGTCAAAGTATACTCAAATAGCAAATTGATATATTTGAGCTTATTAAGCACCTTATCTTTTGCTTTAGATTTTTTCACGGTTTTTTCTTAAGAAACATTTTAAGAAAGCTTTTAAAAAAAACCCTTTTATATGAACGTATTGGGCACATGCGACTTGCCCATCTTTTGCTTTTAGAGGAACTTACCCTCGAATCCTGTTCCAGCTCCTCCTCGAGCGCACTATAGACTGGCGCGTACCAGGAGTAGGAGAGCTGTTTGCGCGCCGATGCAGCAGCCCCGGCGCTGTTGGCCGTTGGCGATGTCAGACCCACGCCGGCGTGACCGTGACCGTGACCGGAGCCGTGACTTTGGCCGTGATTCTGACTGTGACCGTAACTGTGTGTGTGATGCTTGTGCGGCACAAGCTTGCCGCCGCTGGCGGCGTTATTAGGGCCAGCCGTGCCGGCGTTGTTGCATGCAGCTGTGGTCACCAGATTGTTGTTGTAGTTCAGCTGAAGGCTGCGTCGCTGCTGCTGGCCGCGCGTGGACGGCAAATGTTTGGTTTGCTTGCGATGTCGCTCGCCCGCACCGTACAGGCTGTGATGCTGGCGACGCAGCTGCTGGCTGCTGGGGCTGAGTTCCTTCTTGGTGAAGATGAGCGAGGCGCTGTTCTTGTTGAGGCGTATGGAGCGCTGTTTGTCCACCACGGTGGCCTCGATGTGGGTCAGCAATGGCACCGTCTCGGACAGTGGCAACAGCTGCAGCGATGATTCGGCCGGAAAGTTAATGATGAAATTTTCGGCAGCGTCATCAAAGATGGAGGCGCGTGCAGCGCTCAGGCAGGTTGTGCTGCTCTGCGCCTGGGAATGTCTAAGATCCTTTGGCTGTTCTCGTTGTTGTTGCTGTTTGGAATCCTTAAGGTCAGACTGTTGCTGCTGATACGTGGCTGCTGAGCTGTAGCTAAGCTTGTGCTCCACAAGCAGCTCCAGTGGCGGCAGTTTTGATTTGTGCGTTGTCAGCTGCTGCTGCTGCTGATGCTGATGCTGATGCTGCTGCTGTGTATCCAACTCTAGGCTGAGCGGATGCTGTGCGGCCTGTGGCTGTTGTTGTATTGTTGGCGTTGCATGAACGTGTACGTGCGCCTGCTGAAATGCTTCATTCTGCTGCTGCAGCGCAGTCGACTGCATGGCCATGGGCGGCCGCATTTTGGCTAACAAGGGGACGCAGAGCGAGGCACTGTGTACACAGCTCAGCCGTGGCTGGCAACAACATCTTGAGCATAGCCTGCAAAGGAAAAAATTTAATGAGTTGGTAAAGCAATTATTAAGCATATATATTTATTATAAACTCTAATTACTAATTGCTTTAGTTTATTTTTAATGCTGAACAAGTTCTTAATAAACTTTCACTTTAATCAACGAAGTTTTTAGCCCCCTCTAAATAAATGACCACATCAAAAAGCAGACGCTGCTCTCTGCTGAGTTTTGGTTTTCAAATTGCATTCCATTCGGAATGGCCCCCTTCCAATCCTTTGGCAAATTCCGGAGCTGCACACTTTCCACAACTGACCCGCTCGACTGGTCAGGCAAAGTCAGCTGCAGTTGCTTTGTTGGCAGCAGTCATAAAGAAAATTTACATAATCGAAGCTCGACTGCTTGTTAGCCTATACAAATTATATTCTTTGAATTCTTTTACAGGGTATTATGTTTTGTCGATGGAGAATAGCATTTAGGAGCTTTACGATTCCCCTCCTGCGTAGTCCACTAAAAAAAGGACTATCATATTATTTTACTATAGGGTATTAAAGCTTCGTTGCGCTTAAATTAGTCGCTATTTATTGTTTTATTTCTGTTTGAAAAATCTATTGCTAATTAAGATTTCGATATGGAATTTGCAGAACAATTTAAAAACAAATATACACAAAGCAAGTCTTACAACAATATTAGTTTTTCCAACGATTTCTATATGTTCGGTTCATACGGAGACTTAATATAATATATTTATTTAATCAACAATTAAATCTTTGCGTTGTAAATAGTAAACAGATCAATATGCGAGATATAATTATGCTTTATGTGTTCCCAAATGTTTTCTTTAATGCTTTAGGCATTTGGTTCCAATTGTAAATGCTTAAGTCTTGAATACCTGACTTAACTCTACTTAATTTGCTTATACCCTTTAGGCTTTTTCAATGTACAGGGTATGCAAAGTACCACCTTTACGAGCTGCACTCGATTTTATGTGCGCCCGGCACAGCCGGCTGATTTGCATTTTTGCTTTTGTTTGATTTATTGCAATTTGTGCTGTGCCGGAATTTATACAATTTTTGTTGCTTTCGATTGGAAATCGTATTCGGAATTCGGAATATGCCCCGTGCATTTGATTAGAGTGGTGAGAGAGAGAGAAAGAAGGAGAGGGGAGCGCGGAGAGTAACAGCTCCCAAAATTGATGGCATCGTCACGTGGCAGTTGGGGAATTCAATTTGGTACAGCTGCCAGAAAATTGCGATTTTTTTATGAGTTTCAGCTGGTTAAAGTCACGTTACGTTATTTTTGTCAGCTTTTCTAAGCTGCCAACTCCAAGCAGCCCACAAACAAATGCCAAAGTTAAATGCGTAATTAAGACACGACGAGACAGAAACATGGAAAAGGGTTGGGGCGATTGCGTGCGGAATTATTAGATGAATTCCCACAAGGATGTCTGGCAAAGTTAATTAGCAGCTGTAATTGTGATTGTTGCTGCTGTCAATGTATCCATATAATGGAATCCAATGTCAAGGGTACAGAGTAAATCGAATGCGACATCGTCTGCTCTCTGTCATGTGATTCGATCAAACGATGGAGCTGGCATTCTGTAGATTTCAATCATGGTATTCAACGCTACGATTACGCCTAAGTGGGATTCAGTGTAGCGCGAGTTCGCGTCATAATCAATCATGTTTACCCCACGCTGGGCGCCAACAGTTTGTGGCACGCCAGGCATATGCAAATTTTTGATTCGATTTCATGCACAACGTTGCACAGTTGCACCTAAAAAGAGTTATGGGCTCTAATCAAATTAGCTTGCAACAATGCGAACCCAATTTGAAGGCAATTAATCGAGTAATTGTCTGAAATGCAGCCCAGAAATTATGCTTCACAAATGAGTTTGTACACCCAAGCACACACAGCAATGTGTGTGGGTGCGAGTGTGTGCCTGTAACTGTTAAGTGAAATGAATCGGAAAACATAAATTCAGCAAAGCGCTGGCGAACACCAAGCGTAACACACACACACACACACACACACACTGCAGGGGGCGTGGCAATGCCAACAATAGCAGCAGGCCTCCAGGGAGGCAAACGGCGTGGCCTTCGCAATCAGCTGAAGCGCACACTGGAGTCAATTAAGCCATTTGTGCACGACAGTGTGACCAAGTATTCCCAATGGATTGACAAACACAAATTAGCTTGAGTATAAAAATTTAAAAAAACATTAGCTGCCACAATACCAATAAAGGGAATTATAGTGTACAGCAAAAGAATAATTATAGAGCCAACTACATATGTGACTTTGTCGAGCTGTTCTCTTTAATGTACTTTAATATAATATATTTAAATTACACACATCTATTTTGGAGATTTTCGAATATTACATTTTAAAATACTATGAAAATAATGGGGATCGTATCAATTTATAGATAATTTAAAAATATTAAGCTTATAACAAATATTTAGAAGGAGTACAGTATAATTTAATAGATTATATATACCTTAGGGAAATACTCTATTTTGTCTGTCGCTTAACACAATTTGAAAATGTTTTCGAGTAAATCCTAACATTATTCAAGAGTCCAAAAATATAACAAAATTATATGGTGATATTGGTTTTTTATCGACTGAAATTTTTAGAAGCAATTTCAAGCATTTAAATGAATTCTAACGTAGCGCATTAAATACTGTTTTCCAATTAAAATACTGAAGACTAATCTGCAGAACCTATTTTGCTGTTACTTTGCTGCTAGGAAAAAATGCGTTCATTTTGACTTCATTAAAAAGGCAGCTGTCGAGAGGATGCGCTAAGCGGTTGCTCCACATGCCACTGGAGGTATGTCAGTATATTAATTTTTGGTATGCGCTGACTATATGTGTGCGTGGGCGCGTTTGTGTACGTGCGTGTGTATGTGTGTGCGATGAGAAAAGGCGAGCGCACAAAAGTATGCAACACAAAAATGCGCGACTCGCATAATTTGCCAAGCCAGCAAAAAGGGAAAACAACAGTCAAAGCAGATGGAAGAGTAACTGCTGGGCTGAAGCAAGAAGCAGAAGAACCAGCACAGGCCGCAACAGGAGCAACAGCGAAATGCCAAAGATAAATTGCTTCTCGCACGCCTTCCAACAGAATGGGCCTGGCAGTAGCGACATTTGCTGCCAGTCGGATGTTGCCACGCCTAAAAGGGCCTCCTTCTCAGCCTCCGCATTCTCCCCACTCCTGCTCGGAAGCAACCAGCTACACATATTCTCAAATTAATCGCTTTTGGCGCACATTGTGAACATTCATTTAACGCCATTTAGCCGAACAAGCCGAACAAGACCAAGCTACAGTTGAAGAAGACGAGGAAGACAAGCAAATGGCTTGAAAAAAAAAACCAACAAGGACAACGAAGATTAATGTGGTCTGCTAATACGTCAAGTTTAATAGACAAATGAGCAAACTTGAGCCGCACAATTTCCAAGCAAATTTTTCTGCTCACTAATGTTTACAATTGATTTCAGCTTTTAATCTATCAAAAGCTTTAAATCTATCTATTGCTTATAATTATACCCTATAAACCAATTTACACAAGCTAAGTTAATGTAGAAGTCTGCATAAGCAAAAATCAATTCTATATACTATAAAATGAACACTATTAAATGAGATTCAATTGCATGGGCTTGAGATCATGAAAATCGTATAGAAAGGCGATGTTTAAAATATGGCTATTCTCAATGAGAGACCGAATAAAGGAGAACGCTAATCATATAAAGGAAAAATGAAAAAATTTGTAACTAAGACACAACTCTGGATATGAGAAATGTATTGATATCTTACAATAGACCTTGAGTTTCTAAAGCTCATGAAAATTGTATTGAAAGGCGATGTTTGTTTCTAAAGGGGCAAGGGGAGTTTCAAAGCTATTTGAATTATACACATCTGGTAATAATGGAAGAGAACCAGTTCTCTAGTTATCCAACAATGAGTTATTGTGCTTTACTCGTATAAATTTACATAATTTGACAATAAATTAAATCAATGTCAGTAGGCTTTTAAAGCCGTACATTACCTAAGATTTAGTTGACATCTATTATAATAGTTTTTAAATATTTTATCGCAAGTTAAATAAAGTTTCGCTTAAACTATTCTAAGAAGCAATATATTAATTGACTTTCCGAATTCCCCCAATTTCCTATGTTAACTTTGCGTGAACCCGTGAACCGGGCCAACTAATTGACACACGTCAATTGGCCATCAAATTAATTAGCCAAATGTCAGCGACACAAGACAGGGGATAAAGGAAACAAAAGCCAGACAGACAGCGTGGACATGCAACACATTTCGGCAATTTATCAGCTCTGCTTTGTTTTCGGCCAGCCAGTTTATCAACTTACCATTATTAAATCTGCATGCAAATGCTGTCGAGGTCCACAAATTGTTGCAACTGCAAAATAAATAAAAGACAACATTTTATTATCAGATCGTTAATTAATTAGATATAGTTCTGCATATATAAATAGTTGGAACATATAATCAAATTAACATGTGTGGACAAATCTCATTTTTATTAGATTTGTGCTTTTATTGTCTGTATTCATTAAATTAATTAAAATATGTTGTAGAGAACCTTTTCACGCACAACATAACTGAACTAATATAATTGCAAAATGGTATTTTAGTCTTGTTTTGTTATCTAGATTAAATTCGCATCTATTTATACTCTATTCACAAAGTACACAAGAGCTTGTCCGCATTGTCCTGTTTGACTGTCAGACTGTTGAAAGACTTTGAATTTGGATTTCCTGTTCGTGCGAATTCACCTTTTAGTGCTACAGTCATCATATTTAACAGATAGATTACCAGAGTTATGATATTCAACAGATAGATGATCCTCGAAACATGAAGCATAAAATTTACAATTTTATTTATAAGACTGTTAACTAATCATTAAAGATTTCGAATATCTTCTATTATATTAATCCTATCTCTTTACAAATCTCATGTAAATCTTAGCTTAGGACGATATCTCAAAGGGACTCAATAATGCTAAAAAATTGATTAATTCATAGTAAATGATTTTCCAAAGCTTTGCATAAAGTAATTAAGGTCTTGGCTTGTTCTTGGGATATATTGTAGCGGAATCATATCATTTTCTACTACTCTTTGAAGCAACTCTGTAAATGCAAATAAGAAATAAAAGAATGCAAGAAATCTAGAAATATTAAAATAAATAACCAGGGCTTGTTAGGCTTTCAAGTTGCAAAAAATGAAAATAAATTGAAAATGCAAACAGCTGCCCAGTTGCATCATTATAAAGCCAGCCAATTATCGAAGCTGTTCCGCACGCCCTGCTGAAATTCCCAGGACAATGGCAGCAGCTTTTGAATGGGGCAGCCAAATCAATGCAGCTAATAATAGCAGGCAATTGACCAGCCACGTGCCACATGACGCAAGTGCAAATGCACTGAAGCGCTTACTGTTGCCGTCGGGTAACTAAACAAATTGGCTGCAAGAAATGCAAAATGGCAGCTGCTGCTTGAATAGAAGAAAAGCAAACCTTAGCTAGCGAATTTACTGAAAGTAGCGTATCTAGCCAGTCGTATATGCTTGAAGCGTGTGTGCTTAGCGCCTTTGGGGCATGCGGTTGAGCAGAGCCAAAGGAATTTTAATTGCAAGACTGTCAGCCAAAGCCAAATGTCGGCCCCAATTATGAAGCTAATTAGACTTGGCGACACTTAGCCCCAGGCACGCCCACGCACTGGCTGAGGTTAAGCGTGGCCAAGTGCCAGGATCCAAGGACTGTTGCACTGGCATTTAATTTTTAAACGCCTGCGACCACAAACAGCTGGCACAATTGAAAGCGTAATTGCATTCTGAGGTACACACTTAATTTCACACACAGCTAATTACAAGAGAATTTATTGGAAATTTATTGATCATTTTCAGTGCAAGCGAACTTAACCAAACGCTTTGCTTAACTGCAAATCTTTACAAACTCGCATTTATCAACTTGGGCACTTGGCTCGATTGCTGCTGCTGCTGCTGCTGCTGCTGCTGCTTATGACACTTAAATTGCATAGCCAGCAACAAGAGCAGCAACTGCAAACAACATCAACAACAACTACTGAGCACAAGCAACAACAACACGCATTTGCCAATTGACTTTTAACGTCACTCGCCTGCACTTTGCCTGCAAATGGTAAATAAACTTTTAACTCAAGTGCACAGCAAGCTAAATCGAAACTATCAATCACGAATTATGGCTAATATAACGACAGGCTAGTTAAATATGTTTAAAATACATAAACATATATATAACACATATATTTAACACGCTCGCCGTAATTATGGCAACAGCAACCATTTAAGCCTTTGTTTTGACCTCTCTAAGCCGTGTCCTGCAGCCAAAGACATGTTGTTGTTCGTTAGTTTGTCCAGAAAATCCGCTTAAGTCCTAAGCCCTGTCACAGCCAGGACAGCCAGGACAACGCATTTGCGCAGCCTGATGCAAATTAACATAATCACAACCATCTGCACGCCCGGGGCCCGTAATATGGAAAAACAACAGCAGCAGCTATTGCAATAACTGCCTGTGCGGATTTACATACAATGCAATCGATTTAATATTGGATATATTATTTAACTGAAAGCTTGCCTTTGGATAAAAGACTCTGGACTTTTACATTCACCAAAATTGAGTTGTTCAAAATCAAAAATTCTTTAGCTGAGCTGTGAACTATTCATAAATATTATGATTTGCATTTAGTTGTGGTAGAGTTACAATTAGCTTAAATAAATGTTTTTATTTAATATTAATATTATATCATTGATTGGAATTATTGACTATGTGTCATTCATGGGGTTAGATTGAGGGAATTCCGCTCGATTATTATCTGGAGATTTTTAAGAGGCTCTAATTTCATAACACGTTTTCACCAAAAACTCTTCATTTCAAAACTTATTAGTTTGTTATCTTTAACATTAGGGTAATTCCATTTGGCTCTAGCAAACAATCTTGGCAAACACTCTGTTAATTTCTCATCAGCTTCGAGCCTTATAAGTCTCTGGTTAAAATAAATACGTTAAACGCAACAAAAATTAAATAAGAACTCAAATCAACTGACTTTCCTGGGCAAATCTTGTATTCAGAATAAGTACCTAATAATTCTGGCTGGGTAAGTAAAGGTCACTGGAAAATTTGTTGGTTATCTACCGATTTTAATCTTTCAACTGGTTCAACATAATCTTGACATGACCAAGTTGTGGCATACACACGCGCTGTCACAGTGAGCATTGCAAGTATGCGAACGAGCCAGATGTGACAGCTTGGGCACTGTAAAAAAAAATATATAAAAATAGAACCGATATGAAATCCACAGAGAGGAAGTGCCACAGAGACGGCTGAGTATTACAAGAGTAAAGTGCAAAGTTGAGGCCAGCTGTCATCAGGCTGAACATCAGCAGCATCAATAATCAAATGGAATTTCAATCAAATACGTGACGCATTCGCCTTGCAGCTGCGAAAAATTGAGAGAGCTCACCTGGGTGGAAGAAAACAAAATTGCTTAAAATGGCTGCAATTGCAGTTGAGGGGGCAAGCTAAATGAGATTCTCAATGAGATGAAGATACACGATACAATGTGTGTGTGTGTCTGTGTGTGTGTGAATGGTAGCAAGTGTAACACTTGAAAGTCTAGACTAAGTGGCTGCAGAGCGCGCAGCATTCATGTGCTGAATGGAATGTGGTATGCAAAAAGGGGAAAAACATAATGAAGAAATCAGCTTGAGGGTGCCGAAAAAGAAATACCCTTGCAGAAATGTAACAGATGCGGGATGATATCTGAAAGGGCGGAATCTCTGCCAGCTTTATATATGACAAACAGACTATATGTGAGATATGCTAATCGGGAGTATATAAAACAGAGATGGCTTCTTAACTTCACCACAAAATTATAAAACCCTCTGCAAGGGCATTAAAGAGCAGAAAACAATCAACAAGCAGCCGCAGCAACAGCAGCATCCCTTGCATTAAGTATACGCCCAGTTGGCTCCCTGTTGTTAGCGTGTTTTTTTTTTCTCTCTCAGTTTTTTTTCGTTTTGTGGCCCTTTTGTGGTTCCGTACAACAAAAAGTTGCCTGCTAAACTCTTTCTAATGAACGTCTTTAAGTCATGCAATAACCAAATTGCAGCTATGCAACTCACGCAAAGCTTATTACGCGGGCTACCTCTCCCTCTCTCTCTCTCTCTTGCTCTCTGTCAGCTTAATCAGCATTTTGTTTGCTTTGTGGCAATTATACATTTAAATTGGCATTGTGGCAGCGAGCGTTGCAACTCATTTGCCTATGCGATAGCCGAAAATCCAAAGCTCCGGAAATGCTGTTAGCCGCCTTCTTTTAGTACACGCAAAAGGCAAGTGGCTGGCAGTTGGCAGTTGGCAGCTGCCGCCATTTTCATGTTGCATGTTGCAACAGACCACAAAGAAACGAAAACAAGCCTGTGGCAAGTGGCATGGCAAGCAAATTGACTTGCGACCAGCTGCTGTCGCCCCAAGGATGACGATACCGTTGTCAAGCTGTTGCCTTTAAAGTGTCGCCAGCCGCACTTTAAAGACAGCCTTGCAACATAATGTGGCAACTCTGCAGTTTCTGTTGCACAAAAAGTTAACTCAAAAACATTAAACGTACTTAAAAGGCAGCAAAAGTAAATGTGCAAATTACATTGAAAATGCAAAGCAAAGCAAGGCAAAACACACACAATTTGCACTAAGTACTTTTAGGGCCCTGCAACATTTTGTTGCAACATTCCAGTGCACAATCTGAATATGCGCACTGATCACTGACCATCTTTTTTATTTTGCTATTTTGCTCTTTGGTAGCCTTAAGTACTTTTGCTGCAACTAAAGCAATTAGTTAAAGTGTTTTGCTGCCAAGATAATAATTTATATTCTAACGAGTTTTGGTTGTTTTGGGTAAATAGCATCTACTATCTTACAGCAGGAATATTAACGCCAACCAACACTGTAAAAATAATAATAAATAAAGTTATACAAATTATGTACACAAAAATACTAATAGTTAGAGTAACAGTAATATTAATAATACTAATATTATAAATTATTAAAACAATATCGTTAACACTTACACATTTATTCCCAGATTAAAATAGTTTTCAATTGATAAATTCACTATGCCATCTCTAGCTTCTCCAGACTGGTAAACAGTATTAGGGACATACCCTTAAATAAAACTAAACTAATTTAGCTTCTTTGTGTAATTTTTATACCCTGAACCCATTAAAAATGGGTACAAGGGTATATTGTATTTGTGCATATTCCAAATGTATGTAACAGGCAGAAGGAAGCATCTCCGACCCCATAGTGTATATATATTCTTGATCAGCATCAATAGCCGAGTCGATCTAGCCATGTCCGTCTGTCTGTCCGTC